GAAGATCAAGTTTATAGATGAGCAACGAGTGGCACACTTTGTTTTGCTTTCACTAAATGCTTTTGAGATATAGGATGTTAATTCAAGTAAATTTGTAGAAGTTGATTTGCCCTTGCAAAATCCATGTTGACTATATGAAATGCTAGAAGAGATAGAATGCGTCTACTGATTTGTTATAATTGCTTCAAATAATTTAGGAATTGCAGAAAGCTTAGCTATTCCCCGGTAGTTCTCCACTGAAGATCTGCTACCGCTTTTATGTAACGGGGTTATGAAGGATTCCTTCCATATAGTTGGAAAAACGCCCTCTTTAAGAGACAAATGAAATAACGCTGTTAATGGCTCATAGAGAGCACAATTTATAAGAATACAAGAAGGGATTTGGTCAGGACCACAATTGATAAACTACTACATCATCGGGAGATATTACTGGGATATTTATTGAGTTCATTGGACATAGTTTAAAAGGATAGTCAATGTTAGTATGTGAGTTAGTGGAATAATTGGATTTAAAAAACTGAGTGAACATGTTAGAAATTGTTTGATTATCACTAGAGACGGTATTTTGATACTTCATGGCGGAAGGAAACCCACGTACATTTCGCTTGGAGTTTACGAAGTCATAAAATGATTTGGGATTATATATTATACGTCGTTTGATTTTACACAAGTAATCTTTATAACACTTTTTGTTTAATTCAAAGAACTTGTGACGCAAAAGTGAGTATTTTACATAGCATGAGTATAAACCGGTTTTTTTGTGTAATCTAAAATAATGCGACTTTCTGTTTTTCAAATTTCTCAGTTCTTAAGTGAACCATAACTGTGTTTGTTCGTCAGGAACATACATCCGTTTAGGCACATGCTTTTCAAATAATTTATGTAAAGTAAAATTAAAAAGTGCAACGCTTTGTTCAATATTTTCTTTATATTCAGGCCACGACAATTTAGACAGTTCTTTGTTAAGCTTTTTAAAGTTGGCTTTCGAAAAAACAAAGCGAATATTTGGTTTGTATGCTTGGGTACTGCAATTTTGCCCATCACTTATAACTTCGTAAGATACCTCCATAGCAGGGTGGTAGACATCTTCAGGCAAAACTAGTGGATCAAGCTTATTTGGAACGGACTTAGATGCATCTTCAACATAAACAAGATATAGCATAGAGCTAAGTAAATATATCCTTTTCCAGCCTGTACACGAATGCATTTGAATTCTACTGAATCAATGTGTGGAAGGCTAACTACTTCAGATGGTATTGAAGAGTTTACAGCGAAGAGTACGCCACCGCCGATTCTGCCCTCCCTATCTTGTCTATACATATGATAACATTGTGAGACAAATGGTAGGGGTCAGTGATCGGGAAGGGTTCAAACTGNACTTCAGATGGTATTGAAGAGTTTACAGCGAAGAGTACGCCACCGCCGATTCTGCCCTCCCTATCTTGTCTATACATATGATAACATTGTGAGACAAATGGTAGGGGTCAGTGATCGGGAAGGGTTCAAACTGCCGGGGAAAGTTATATCGGTAAAAAAGAAGTTATACGTGTCCCGGCGTTTCGCTGGGTCACGTCTAGGAATCGAGATATATATAAAACTATCATATAGGGGAAATTGTCGCCTTTGGTGGTCTTTTTTTGACATAACTCGAGAACTACTGGTCCGATTTTGCTCAAACAAATTTAAAAAAATTAAAAGTTACAATTCCTTTGATCTGTTCATATAACGTTTTTCTATACAATCAACAGTTTTAAAAAAATTTAATATTTTAGGCAAAAAATATTTTTTTTTCTTCATACATTTATTTTTACCGGCAAAACTGTTGAATATATAGAAAAACGTTATATGAACAGATTAAAGGAATTGTAATTTTTATTTTTTTTAAATTTGTTTGAGAAAAATCGGAAGTGGTTCTCGAGCTATGTCAAAAAAAGACCACCAAAGGTGACAATTTCTCCTATATGATAGTTATATATAAATCTCGATTCCTTGACGTGACCCAGCGAAACGCCGGGACATGTATAACTTGTTTTTGACCGATATAACATTTCCCGTTGGTTTCACCCCATCCCGATTTTGACTGTCGCATAGTGTAATTATTTGGAAGAATCTCTGAATTGAAAATGTGAGGTTTCAGCCAAGTTTCAGTCAAAGAAAGAATATTATAATTACATTCAAGGCGTTTAAGGTATAAGTTCGTTAATTTAGTATTTAAGCCTCTTTCATTTTGGTAATAAATACTTAAAGCAGATTTAATAATTGGTTTTTTGATTCAGTGTTATTACAAGGAAGATTAGCTAAGTTATTTCCTTTTTTGGGCCTATATTCGAATTCACGAACGAAAGCTCCGGGGGGTCAAAAAGAACTACTAAGCAGCGCAATAAAATTATCTAAATTTACGTCAATTTTAAATGAAGCAATATTTCTTTCGTATTTAAAATTAAATTTTCTGATGCTTAAGTCGACAGTTGTAATTTTTGATGAGATATAAAGCTTTATATCGTCTTCGGTAGTGTCTCTCGAAAATCTGGAGACAAATATTGACTTCTTTGGCGGAACCACAACTAGTTTCCTTGTATCAGACTGGAGTACCGGCGGAAGGGGTTGATTTACTGCGTTAGTAGTTGAGTATAGAGAAGGCGGTGGAGGCTTCGAAGATGTTGCCACCACTTCAATGGGGGAAGGGGAAGATACTTCAGGCTCGTTATTATCCGAAGCAGATTTCGTTACACGCTCTTTTGAGGCTGAGGATTCTGATGCTGGAGGACATGGAGAAGTTATATTAATTAAGTCAGTCGGAAGATTATTCTGACGTGCAACGGCAATAATTTCCTTAGATGGACTATGAAGACGCTTACCGACGATTCTCTTCCTATTTCTGTAAAACCATTTCTGGTTTGCCTCAATAGCTTGAAAAGATCAACTTCGGTTGACCTACATTTTACGCAAAACCAGCGAAGGCCCTTGCCATCATTAATAGCGTCCAGAATTCTTCCCTTCAAACCAGCACATTTCAGATGGTAAATACCATCACACAGCCAGCACGATAAGTAGCGTTCAGAATCGCTTTTAATTTGGCAAGTATCAAGATCGCACTTCACATTGAATGATTTATGTAATAAAACTCGTTAATAAAAAGACAAACAAAATAAATTATAACAATTAAGGAGCTGATGTAAATAGCTTTAAATAAATGTAGCGAACCGTTTGAGTATCACTGTAATTATGACACTTAATAAACGCAACGCAATCAGCTGTGACAAGAATTACTAGAAGAAGTAAACAAAAATAGTAGAACAAATGTGCAAAAACAAAATGAATTCAGTTAACTACAAAGGATACAACAACAATGATAGCAACAAGTGACTCGGTAATATTATAATGTATGCTAGTGAAATTAATTAAATTTAGTTTAATACAAAACACAATAACTTTCACTTAGCTTCAATTGTTTCACACTAAGATGCTCATGAGCACTTTTTATCACTACTTTAACTCAGAATTAGCACAATAAACTTAGCAAATAGAAAGCCAAAATCAGAACACGATAAAGTACAACCTCAAGGCTTGACGTTTGCGTTTTTACGTTTTTGTACCCGATACTTTATATTGCGATCCAAGCAGGTATTCGAAAAAAAGCATCTTCTTTGAAAAGCAACCCATTAGAGGAATTGGAAGATATGCGCAATACATTTCCGCAGCTATATAAGCAAGCCCGTCTATACAGTGTTGCCGTTGTGTGACTAACGGGGCAATTTGACCCTCTTTGAGCGCCAATACCCTTTGACCCGACTTTTTTGAAATTTTGATTTTTTTACCCTTTTCCAAAATTATGTGAAATGTTAACTGAGCCATGCTATCAAAAAAGATTTCCTCCTGTAAGTATGAAAAAATGCACACTTAAAACTTTTAAGGGAAATGTAACTCTTCTCCATTTATGTGTATGTTTGAACTTTGTTTTGTGAAAAGCTTGTCACACTATTTTTTTTTTCAATTCAACAAATTTATTCTTTTACGAGTAAAGAAAAGCAAAAATAATATGGTGACCCTTTTTTTCTTCAATGAACCCCTTTTTCGACTTTCTGAAAATTCTCAACGGCAACGCTGCGTCTATACATAACGGTTGTTGGGTCATCTGTCCCTTGCGAGAGGCGTTTCTCAAAAACAGATACAACGATATTAAAATCTCGAAACCGCCTTTCAGGAAAACACGTGGAAAAGTTGATGTTTTTGGGAAATATAACAAAAAAGTAGTTATTTTTTAAACTCATTTTATATGAAAAAAAAACTTTATCTATTAGTCTTGTAGAAATGTATTCTATTGTTTTTGAAATCAAATACTATAAAAAAATAATTGTTGTCTTAAATTTTTGTCTGAAAAATTATTAAAAGATAAATAATCTTGTAAAAATGCATATTTTTTGTGAAAAAAATACAATTACTTTGGAAAATATTGAAAATCGTAGTCTATGTGCAAGTACTCGATACCTTTCCGATATTGAGTAGGTATCGATACCTTGTTTGATACAAGTACAAGTACTGATTTGAATAATACCTTGATGGTATCGATTTAGCCCTACACACAATAAAGGGAAGGGACCTACAGTTTTACGCCAACTCCGAACGGCGATTGTATTTTTATGTTTTTATGTCTGATAATATTGATAGAGATTTAACTTATGCTTTTTAAGGTTTGCCAGCTCGAAATCATAGGAATTTAAAATTTAACTAAAACCTACATGATCTCGGTTGCATAAAATATTGAGAGCTTAAAGTGGTTCTTCAGAGCTTACTAATTAAGCAGTACGTACCTTGAATAGAATACTTATGCCAAGGTTCATAAATGGTTTGGTAAAATCTATAACACTTTCACGGGCGTAAGTGATTGTCATTGATCCGACAGCCAAATCGGCTTTCTATAATAAAAGAGCCAATTTACTTATAACCAGGGACCGAAAATAATAATTATATTCAAAATTTCAATTCAAAAATTGAGTTGGAAAGAATTAGTATTTTTAACATTTGTATGCTTGTTAGCTAAGGAATGTTAATCCTATATAACTTATTTTTTTTTTTTTACTTTTTTCAAAAAAGTCAGCAATTAACCTTCATTTTATGACTGATATTTTTTTATCAAAAGTAAAAGTTAAAACATGACTTTTGTTTTTTTTACGGTCAAATATAAAAGTTTAAATTTTTTCGGTTAAAAATAAAAGTTAAAAATTGACTTTTATTTTTTCGGTCAATTATAAAAGTTAAATCTGACTGAGTCCGACCGGTTCCAATTGTTTTCAGGTACCGATCCCGATTCTATAAAAAATTACAAATAAATGTATTAATTCATAAAGTCAGTTAATTTAACGGAGTTAACAAAACAAGATAAAACAAATAATTGAAATAATTGGCTACATAGTATGTATGTATGTGTAAAAATATATGCACATATATCACATATACATATGTACATTACATAAAACAGTTTTTTATATGGTGCTAAGCAAGAAATATTTAGGATCATAAAATTTCATTTCGTTTTGTACTAACCCTCCAGTACTGCCGTGAAACCTTTTTAAAATTAAATGAAACCTTTTTCAGCTTAAGCGAAACCATTTTCAAATTAGATGAAACCTTTTTCAGATAAAGCGAAACCTTTTTCTAATTAAATGAAACCTTTTTCTGATTCAATGAAACTTTATTCAAATTAAATGAAACGATTTTCAAACAAAGCGAAACCTTTTTCAAATTAAATGACACTTTTTTCAGGTCAAGCGAAAACATTTTCAAATGAAATGAAACCTTTTTCAGATAAAGCGAAACCTTTTTCAAATTAAATGAAATCTTTTTCAGATTCAATGAAACTTTATTCAAATTAAAAGAAACTTCCTTTTAAGAATGTTTCATTTAATTTGAAAAAAGTTTCATTTAATTTGAATAAAGTTTCATTGAATCAGAAAAAGGTTTCATTTAATTAGAAAAAGGTTTCGCTTTATCTGAAAAAGGTTTCATCTAATTTGAAAATGGTTTCGCTTAAGCTGAAAAAGGTTTCATTTAATTTTAAAAAGGTTTCACGTAATTTGAAAATGGTTTCATTTAAACTGAAAATGCTATAAATTTAAACACTTTACTTATATATGTAAGGGCAAAGATGAAGGGGAATATGTATATGAACAATATGATAAACATAAAAATAAAAACAACGATAAATATAAAGAGAAATATGAGGATGAGAATACTGATAAAAGTAAAGATAGAGGAAGAAAGATTAAAATAAAGGTAGTTTTAGAGAAGAGGATATAGATAGAGGCACAGAGACTCAATCTGGGAACTATTTCGGGATTTTAGAGATTTTCGGGATTCTCGGGACTTATCGATATAATAATCGATATTTTGTCGGTTCTATGATCGATATTTTTATCGATTTTGTTATCGAAATTTGTATCGATATTGTTATTGAATTTGCTACCGATATTTTCGGAATTTTCGATATAATCGATATTTTTTATCGATATTTTTTATCGATTTTGTTATCCATATTTTGATTGATATTGATATTTTTATCGATTTTGTTATCGATATTTTTATCAGTTTTGTTATCGATATTTTTATCGATGTTATTATTGATATTTTTATCGATTTTGTTATCGATTTTGTTGTCGATATTTTTGTCGATTTGTTCATCAATATTTTTATCGGTTTTATTACCGATATTTTTAATCGATTTTGCTATCGATATTGTTACCGATATTTTTATCGGTTTCATTATCGATATTTTTATCGATTTTTCTATCGATGTTGTTATCGCTTTTGATGTCGATGTTTTTATCGATTTTGTTATCGATTTTGTTGTCGATATTTTTGTCGATTTGTTCATCAATATTTTTATTACAAAACGATTTTTAATTTTTAATCGATTTTGCTATCGATATTGTTACCGATATTTTTATCGGTTTCATTATCGATATTTTCATTGATTTTGCTATCGATGTTGTTATCGCTTTTGATGTCGATGTTTTTATCGATTTTGTTATCGACTTTATTATCGATTTTATAATCGACTTTGTTATCGATTTTCTAGTCGATTTTTTAACAGACTTTGTAACCGATTTTGCTGTCGATATTATTATCGATTTTGATATCGATATTTTCATAGATTCTTTATCGATTTTGCTATCGATATTATTATCGCTTTCGTTATCGATATTTTTTTCTTAGTGTGTGCGTTCGTTTTGGACTTTGATATACTTTTAACCATACCACGTATTCTACGTTTAAATTTAGCGGCTGTGTCTCCGAAAATTGTCGAACATAGTTTTTTATGGAAAAAACGTGAAACACCTTCTACCAAAAAAAATAATTTTTGTGAGCTGTCTGCAAATGTTTTTTGATGTTGTCTGGTGTCTGTCGCTTCACCTGAACATATGAAAAGAAATTCCAAGATAATCGGCAAAGAATCGGCGACAAAGGCCGATGCTCAATTTTGTGCCGATACTAGCCGATGCCGATGCAGATGCCGATACCGATTAATCGGTCGGACTCTAAATACATATATTGAGTTTCTTCAATTTAAGCTTTAAGTTATTTACCTTTTTACAGGAATGATTCGGAATTCAATTTAACAATCAATATAGCCGTCAAGTTCTGCTCCGACAAATTGTATGGCAAATCGCTAAGAATAACCTTATTGCAGAGAACGCGCATTCTACTCTGACTTGTGTCGCTGGCACTTGATGTATAATACATGCCAGATATCTTAACGGGGGGTATATACATTTTTTACTCTCCCGGTAATCCATCAAATCCATAAAGTCAAATTTTATCTTTTATTTTTGACCGAAAAAATAAAAGTCATGTTTTAACTTTTATATTTTACCGAACAAATAAACTTCAAGTGTTAACCTCTATTTTTGACCGAAAAAATGAAAGTCAATTTGTAACTTTTATTCTTGACTGAAAAAATAACGATTGTTTTTTTACTTTTGAAAAAAACATAACCGTTACGGTCCCTGCTTATAACACCGTGCGACAAAAACCAAAAATTTTTACAACACACGAAAGGATCAATATATTCACAAAACTGGGGGTCAAATATAGTAAAACTGCGTTTTTAGTTTTTTTCTCTGACGTCAGGATTTTTTTTTAAGAACTTTGAAATTTCTAGGATATGATTGAATTAAAAAATTGTTTAAAAAATTTGGCGCATTGTAGAGTAATAATATGGGAATCACTTAAAAGGAAAAATTCTGTAGAATTGAAACAAAATTAATTTTTTGGTGCACCAGGACGAATAAGATTGGAAAATGTCCTTTTAAAACTTTATCCTTGAAAATTTCCAATATTTATTTTAGAAAAAAATATATGTCAAGGACTAATATGTAAACTTCCACTGCCTCGAATTTCGTCCTTCTAACTTTATTAGTTTTAGATAAAAAAAATTTTAGACTTCCCTTTATAAGGCATTGATAGTTACAATATACATAAATGAAGATACTGGAATGATTACACTGTATAGCAATCGGCTGGGTATTGGACCAAACCAATTTTTTTTAAGAGATTAAGTCATAGGTAAAAAAAAGATTTCTCCGTTTCTGGAAGTTAGTCTCCAAAATCGAGATATGGGCCTTCGAATTTCGAAATAGGACCTTTGGTAAAAAATTATTTTTTATTATTATATGTAAACAACTAAAAAACTAAAAACATAGACGTAGTCCGCATTTTGCTCTTACCTAAATGGTATATAACTTTGTTTGTGCAAACTTATATTACAGGTACTATGAGGGGTCAAAGGTCGGGTCTTCGAAAAATGAAAATCCTTATATTTCAAACAATTTTGAACTGATTTTTAAAAATCATTGTAAACGTGATTAAACCTCCTTTCTTCTGATATGCATATTTGTATACTTCGTATGCAAAAATTTGAGGAAAAATATTTAAAAGGAAAAACACTTTTTCGTTATTAAAAAAATATTTTAAACAAAAAAATTACCAACCGATTTTTAAAAAATGTATATTGCTGTAAACGCAATCAAACTTTACCTCTTCCGATATGCGTATTTGTATACTTCGTATATAAAAATCTGAGAAAAAAACACTTAAAAGGGAAAAATATCTTTTTTATACAAAAAAAACGTTAAAAAAATACTGACCGATTTTCAAAAATTTGGTATCGTTGTAAAGGTGAGTAAACTCCCCCTCTTCTGGTATGCATATTTGTATACTTCGTATATAAAAATGTGAGAAAAAACACTTAAAAGCAAACAATTTCTTTTTTTATAAAAAAAAATATAAAAAAAAAATTACAAAACGATTTTTAAAAAATTGGTATCGTTGTAAAGGATACCAGGAAACTTATACTTTCTTTAACCCAAAAATTTCGGTGGGGTGCGATAAAGCCATGCGAGATAACGCCATATGGCTCTATCTCCCATCCAATTGCGAGGTAAAGCCATATGGCATTATCACGCTTCGTATTGAGAGATAATGCCATATTTTTTTTTTGTCAATTGTGAGTTAAAGCCATATGGCCTTATCTCTCATATGAATTTATTTGTCATTGTGAATGTGCATTTAATTGTTATTCATTTCACCTGGCAACTTTCCTAATCAATGTCATATTGCATATTGTCAAATTGCATATTTTCATAATCCACGTGTTTTGTGCTTTGATTAAAATGGAAAATCAAGAAATAATTTTTGAATATAAGTTGATTCCAGGTTTTAGGAAAAACAGTTCTTTATTATTAATTGAAAAAGAAAATCAAATTTTCAAATATAAATATATGAATAAAAATGTTAAATATTATTATTGTTATGTGGATAACTGTTTACAAAATGGTCAGTGGCAAATTCTGTAAAATCGTTAGCTTTTCAAATGTATTTCACATTTCTGTAAAAGGGAAATATCATTACTTTTCATTGCAAGAAGAAAAACTAATGATTTTTCGGTGCCATGACAAAATCCCAAGGGGCAAAATCCCAAGTAAAAAAATTGGGATTATGACACTCCCCTGCAGTGTCATAATCCCAATTTTTTTACTTGGGAATATGACACTGCAGAGGGAGTGTCATACTCCCAATTGGGATTTTGACACCTTTGAGCTGGTTTCCCTTTTACGAAATGTGCAAAAAAAAATTTGTTACTTTTTTTAACTTGGGATTTTGTCTAATTTTTATTTGGGATTATGACACCCAGCCTGCGTGTCATAGTCCCAAGTAAAAAAATTGGGATTATGACACTGCAAGGGGAGTGTCATAATCCCAATTTTTTTACTTGGGATTTTGCCAGTTGGGACTATGACATGTCACCGATTTTTCCCTTTTACAGAATGCTTACACCTTCTTGAATGCATATAGAGCAGAAAATATTCCGTAAAAGGGAAAATCACATGAGAGATAAAGCCATACGAGATAACGCCATATGGCCTTATCGCTCTTTGAAATTGGAAATAAAGCCATACAGAAATTTTGGCGCGAATATGGCTTTATCTCTCTTTGAATTGAGTGTTAAGGCCATATGGCGTTATCTCGCATGGCTTTATCGCACCCCACCAAAATTTCTATTTATATACACAAAAAAAAAATCCCTTTATATAAACTTCTGCCCCCTAGGTGAAAGGATGGCTACGCCCTTGTACACAAACCAATCAAAGTATTTAAACCGTACATCATACGGTCAGTTTGATCGTTTAGAGCGCATACATGGTTCCATAATAATGATTCCAGTACCTTCATTTATGTATATTGTAACTATCAATATCTTATAAAGAGGAGTGTACAATTTTTTTAATCTAAAACTAATAAAGTTAGAAGGACGAAATTCGACATAACATAACATAACATAACATATTAGTTCTTGGCATAAATTTTTTTCAAAAATAAATATTGAAAGTTTCCAAGGATATTCAAGGATTAAAGTTTTAAAAGAACATTTTCAATACTTGTTCGTTCTGGTGCACTCAAAAATTAATTTTTTTTCTATTCTACAGAACATTTCCTTTTAATTGTAATACTGTTATTCTACAATGCACCGAATCTTTTGTTTAAATTTTTTATTCAATCATATTCTAGAAGTTTCAAAGTCCTTTTAAAAAAATCCTGACGTCAGAAGGGAAAACCAAAAACGCAGTTTTACTATATTTGGCCCCCAGTTTTGTGAATATATTGATTTTTTCGTGTGTAAAATTGACTGTCGCACGGTGTAACCATTCATACAAAACGAATAAATTACATTATTTTTCAGTACTTACATATTTCATCAACTGTGCAACCATACCGTTCCATTCACCTGTAAATGGGTCTTGAGCTCCATACTTTCGATCGGGCACCAGGTCTAGGATGTACTCGAAACCAATGTCGCGAGCTATGAGCTCCAATATGTCTACGCAAAATCCAAAAAATCGCTCATTTCCAGTAAAATTTTTTCCGTAGTGCATCATTACGTAAGGTGTTTCCTATAAGAAAACGCATATCGTCGGTTATACTTAATGTGACCAACTATTTCATAGCTCAAAGAAGTACAGGTTAGGTTGGGTTAGATTAAACTGGTTGGCCCAGGCAAGGGACACACTTGGACAATTGAGAGGTTGTCCTGTTTGGATACCACGAAAAAACTGAACGAATACCCTTAATTTAGTCGGCGAAGCGCTATGAGCCGATTACCAAATTGCGAATCCGGCTGATTTCGATCCCTGAGAGCTCAGTGTTAGTTAAGAAATGCGATCCAAAATGCTTCTATCTTAGCCTTCCGAAGGTTGGGTAGTCTAAAAGAAAGTGTGGATATGAGTCCAACTCACCTTCCTTATTGCCTATTTTTATAGACTTTAAAAATCATTTAGGGCAACTAATTTTTTACATCAACCGCATTTTTCTTTGTTAAACTAACTGAATAAATAAGCTATTAAATAAACTGTTAAACTGCATAAATCAAAATTCCTTTCCTATAAAAACTGTGTTTCTCTTACATGTATTATTGGCTAAACAAATATTTCAATGAGAGTGACTGGATTTCATTTCGTTCCGCTCCACTCACGTTTGAGAAAAAGTTGAGAATTCAACATTTCACAATTTGAAAATAAAAGAAAAAATCCATAACTAAAACCCTGCAAAAAGTGGGACTAGGTTAAATACTAGTACGGGACCACGCTACCTTGTAACCAACACTAGTAACCAAAATGGTCCAAATATATGGAGAAAATATGGTAACATTAACATTGCGATGTCATTGGACCTGACCACCTCTGGTCCAACGCTGCATAACATGGGACCACCTAGACGCCTACTCCTTTTGGACCATGGCACACTCGGCAACCGAATCGTATTGCCGATCGGCCGCGAAGAGGTGGTGTTCAACACATTTATCAGTTTTTTACGTTTGAAGTGGTCCAGGTCAGCATAACAAGTTACTAGTATGCAACCTGGTCCTTTTGCACATACTTTAAAATCACGACCCATTGGACCACCTGGTCCTCAAATTTTTGCAGGGAAGTGCCTTTTAGTGTGAGAACGCTATCAATGGTTATTTGAGATGCATTTGAAAACTAACGTTTGAGATTTGAGAAAAGGACTGATTCTCAAATGCATCTCAAATTGAGATTTAACAAAAATGTTTATTGGGAAATATCAATCATATACACATATGTACAATAGTAATTGCTATGAATTGCTACAGTATGAATTCAGGCCATGCATTTTCTTTGAGACTCCGTTGATTATTGTGGTCATAAGTTCAGCCAGCACATTCAATGGTCCATTACCCGTAGCTGCTCCAACATGATGAGTAGATTTTAATGAGCCTCACATGCCACTGCCTCTGATTAAAGCTGGATATGGGAATATTAGAAAATAAATAGAAATTATCTATTAAAACTATAAGAAAAATGTTTGTTTACAAAATTACCTGCTCTCCTCGCAATTTCTAAGGAAAATAGAAGTTCGACACTCCGAGAATCCAATCAAATAAGGATGCAACCTCGAATGAAAGATAATAAGCTAAAAATTTGCACAAGTCATTATTTTGGTGTTATAAAGCTTACCTCAAAAGCCTCATATGATGACGTATCCGCGTCTTAAGATATTTAAGGTCAAAGGTCACGAAAATCAGGTTTTTGGCAAATATCTCGTTTTCTTTGCGCTGAACGACATTTAAGGTGATTAGAAAAATTGCAGAACGAAAAATTCTCTTCAACTTTTGTTTCAAGTAATTTTATATACATTCAACCCTTCTTGAGATAGAGCGCAAAGAGTGGAGGACCGCCTACCTGTATATACGATACAGCGAGGTCAACTAGTAGAATACAACAAATAAATGAGTTATATAGTTAATTATTCACTTAAAATACTATTATTATTATTAAATTTTTATTATTTATTATTTAACTAGCTTATACCCGCGGGCTTCACCCCGCGCTTTTATACAAATATGAAAAATAATTTAATGATGTTAGATTTTTTTTCTGTGCACATTTCGTTATAGCTCGTTATTTTTTAAGCGAGTTAAGGTATTTAGGCCGTTTAAAACTATGAAATTATAAAATCTCTTCTGCGCGCTAGGCATACGAAAGATATCAATCCCTCTAAGTTTACCTTAAAATGGTTCCAGGTATACGACGCGTGAACGTGTAACCTTCTTGGAGGTGCCACGGCGGGTTCTAATATTTCCAACTCAAATTTAGTAACCTGGCCTAGATAAAATACCACTTCTCATTACTGTAGCAAATGCCTCAAGAGAGCTTTAGATTATAAGGCCGAACCCGGCTCTCCCTTTTCCATTTAATGAAATTTATTCTGTCTTCCACAAACACTTCCAGGGATATGTGGCAAGAAAAAGTCAATTTGTACAGGAAGTGCCACGCCCATTTTTCTTATAACCCTAATCTTCTTCCATGAATTTAGAATTGATTTTACATACCCCAGTACCAAGTCCCAGTACTCTACCATGAACACCTCTAGAGATAAGCAGTATAAAACAGTAAATTTGTACGGCAGGAACCATGTCCCCTTTTCGAATAACGCAAATTCTTCTCCATGAGTATGGAATTAATTTTGTAAACACATCTCGGTGCCAAGTTCCAGTCCTCTACAATAAACACCTCTAGAGATATGCAGCATAGAAAAATCAATTTGCATAGGAGTTGCCACACCACCTTTTCCAATAACTCTAATTTTTCTCCATGAGTATGGTATTAGTTTCACATACATACATACATATGTATTTCCATACCAAGCTTGAGTGCTTTACCCCAAACATTTGAAGAGATATGCAATATGAAACTTTCAGTCAGTATGGGAGGTGCTACGCCTCGTTTCCAGACAAGTCCATTTTTTCTGTGAATATGAACATGATTTCACACAGTGTTGGCAAACTGTTAATCTGATTAACGATTAAAAATTAACGATTAAAATGTTAATCGCGTTTGAGGATTTACATTAATTAGTCGTAATCGACTGTACGATTAATGATAACATTTTTTAATAGTTAATCGCTGGCTGCGATTACGTTTAATTAATTTAAAACATTAATCGTTAATCCAATTAAAAATAAAATCTGATTAATTTGTCTAGTTTGTCCGAGTTTGAAACCAAACACCAGTTATGGTAATTATTTCGTGTTTTATGCTTATAAAAAGCACATAATATAAAAAAATTATAATTATTGTTATTAGTAATATACAAAATGGGAACTTTTACAAACCTAGTTTTTAAAACGTTTGTTGATATATATCTTAATGAAGATGCACACCAAATTGCTTAGATTGATGAGGAAACCCGACTTAGCCATACCTGATTAATTTGCTTTGTGTGCACAGGGAAATTCCAGCATACCTTAATTAATCACAAAACCTACTTGATCAAATTAAGAGTTAATGATTAAAAATTAATTTTTTAATCGCGGTTACGATTAACTGTTTCAGATTGAATTTAATCGAATTAACTAACTAATTAAAACATCAATCGATTAATGCCAACATTGATTTCACAGCCATATCACTATACCAAATTTCAGTTCTCTCCCACAAATACTTCCAGAGATATGTATGTAATATGAAAATTCCAATTTGTATGGGAGGGGCCTTGAGTTATCGGACTTACTTTCAGTCTAAGACCATCCTTCCGAAATCCGTAGTAAGTGTACTAAATTTCGTTCTGATCGGAAAACCGGTTAAGGAAGTAGCCTATTTTTCAATCCAGGTCATAAACCATCTTTGAGCAAAATTTCATTTTCAAACAGGTGGAAACTCTTAAAATAGTAGCCCATTTTCCAATATAGGTCATAAGCTANTAGCTATCTGTGGGCAAATTTTCATGCAAATCTGTTCAGTCGTTTCCGCGTATTAAATAAATTAAACTTTTTTAACAGGTGGCAACTATTAAAAAAATAGCCTATTAACCAATGTATACCTATAAGCTATCTGCGTACCAAATTTCATGCAAATCCGTTCAGTCGTTTCCGCGTGATGATTTCCCAAACATCCAAACATACAAACTTTCACATTTTTAATATTAGTAAGATATCTCGGAAACGACTTGACCGATTAGAAAAGTATTGAATCCAANGTAAGATAAGATATACATTCCCTGGCATTCAGTAAGCGGTCTCTAGTCAGTAATAGGGACTTATGGTGGTGAACTTGGATTTTGAGACTATTTGGTATTCAGTACGCTGTCTCACTGCTCTAGTCTCAAAAATAATTCACAAATTTGTCAGCTGGCTAAGAGCCGGTCACAAAAATACAAGTATGAGGGAAAAACGTATTTCTTTCCATTTTGTTAAAAAAAAAAACGCGAAAATGAAGCTAGGAAATTCCCTGCAAAAAAAAATTATCAATTGATAAAAAATAACCTACTTGTAGTTAGCTTTTTTGCGGGATTACTATAAAATATATAACTTGGGGTTAGCTACAAAAAGCTAACTTGAAACAAGTGGACAAGAAATGCAGGAGTAAAGCTCGAGATTGTTTTCTTTAAACGCGTTTCTATTTAAATATCCTGCACTTCGCAAATACTTTTTCGAATTGAGTACAAATAAAAGGGAGATCTAAATTTCTTATTATCATTTTGAAGTTATGTCTGACGGAGTTCGAATATGGGACCACCTACAGAAGAATATAGAAACAAATGTGAAATGTTATAAAATAAGTAAAGTAAAAAAAATAAAAATAAAATATTGTGTTTTCCTATTGATATTTTATGTCCAAAAGTAGTTAGTTACAAGTTAGTTGCATCAAATGCAGAGGTAACCACCCTTGACTACATCTAGTGCAGAGGTAAACCACCCTTGACTATTTCGCGGCCATCGCCAGAGAAATATAGTTAGCTTTCGTGAAAGAAAATATACGGATAATAAGTGACTTTTAGCTCCTTCCTAATCAACATAAAGTTAGCTTATAGTTAGACACATTTCCTGCAGGGTTTGTTCAAGAAGAATTTCATTAGGAAATAAACCAAAATGCTT